CCAAAAGAATCTTCATCCTCTTTAAACAGCAGCCAAGGTCATTCCTCCGCCCGCCTCCGAGTCTCCACAGAGCCCGAGGAAGGTGGACGACCCCCCCCCCCCCCCCCCCCCCCTTCAAGGGCCTGCTTCTGCTCTCAGACTCTGAATGACAAACAGGAAACGTTCAGAGGGGATGAATACAGAACACGACGTGGTTAGGCACAATAAGGACTATTTTATCAGCCGTCCACAGAGGGAGAGCACACACACACACACACACACACACACACACACACACACACACACACTCACACAGACACACACAGACACACACACACACACACACACACACACACACACACACACACACACACACACACACACACTCACTCACTCACTCACACAGACACACACACACACTCACACACAGACTCACACACACACACACACTCACACAGACTCACACACACACACACACACACACACACACACACACACACACACACACACACACACACACACACACACTCACTCACACAGACTCACACACACACACACACACACACACACACACACACACACAGGCTCACTCACACAGACTCACACACACACACACACACACACACACACACACACACACACACACACACACACACACACACACACACACACACACACACTCACTCACACAGACTCACTCACACACACACACACACACACACACACACTCACTCACTCACACAGACACACACACACACTCACACACAGACTCACACACACACACACACTCACACACACACACACACACACACACACACACACACACACACACACACACACACACACACACACACACTCACTCACTCACACACTCACACAGACACACACACACACTCACTCACTCACACAGACACACACACACTCACTCACTCACACAGACACACACACACACACTCACTCACTCACTCACACATAGACACACACACACTCACTCACACACACACTCACTCACTCACACAGACTCACACAGACTCACACACACACACACACACACACACACACACACACACACACACACACACACACACACACACACACACACACTCACTCACTCACTCACACAGACACACACACACACTCACACACAGACTCACACACACACCACACTCACACAGACTCACACACACACACACACACACACACACACACACACACACACACAGGCTCACACACACACACACACACACACTCACACAGACTCACACACACACACACACACACACACACACACACAGGCTCACAGACACGCACAGACTCACACACACACACACACACACACACACACACACACACACACACACACACACACACACACACACACACACTCACACACAGGCTCACACACACACACACACACACACACACACACACACACACACACACACACAGGCTCACACACACACACACACACACACACACACACACACACACACACACACACACACACACACACTCACACACAGACTCACACACACACACACACACACACACACACACACACACACACGCACAGACTCACACACACACACACACTCACACACAGACTCACACACACACACACACACACACACACACAGACACACACACACACACACACACACACACACACACACACACACACACACACACACACACACACACACACACACACACACCCTGAGCTGAAGGGTTTTTATTCTTGTTCGACTCCACGACTTCCATTTTAAATTGAAGGGGTCCTGGAGGAGCTGGAGTGAGTCCTTGGTGACTGACCCCCCACTGTGACGTCTCCTTCCTCCTTCTTGTGATCACCCCCCCCCCCCCCCCCCTCAGGTCTCCAGGACTCTTCATGACAGCATGTCACTGGTCCTGGAGAAGGTTGTAGTGGTCCTTGAGGAAGCTTGTGATGACCTGACGAATGAAGATGTCGTTGCCGTGGTTACGGTGTAGAGCTGGTCTGAGGTCAGAGGAGCTGAACTTAAAAAAAGAAGATTATTGGGTTCAATATTTCTCCCTCTTGATGTGAACAGCTGCTGATTTTTTTCACCCTCCATATTTGTAGTTTTTAAATCTTTCTGACATTTATATGTTTTAGACGTTTTCTCTTACTGGATAAATATTCTTAATTTAATAACAAAGTTTTCAAAGTAATGAATTAAATCAACATGTAAGTCATAAACTCTTCATCTTTGTTTTTGGCGTCTTGCTGAACGAGTCTCACTTTTTAAAATCTCATTTCATGAAGAATGTCAGAGGAAACGATCAGAGTATAAACTGTTGTTGCTGTTTGTGAACGCAGCCTGCGTCTCCTCCCAGCAGCCCCCCCCTCCCCTCCCCCCCCTCCTCCTCTGAGCTCAGCACATGAATGAAATAAAAAACCTTCAGGGTGAAGATGGAGGCAGTCAGAGAGCAGACGTGGCCTCGTGCAGCGCCCTCTGCTGGCTGCTCCAGGGAGTGCAGCCTCTAAGATCTTTATATAATTAAACTCTGCTCACATCTTTGTTAAAGTTAGAAAGAGAACATGTGGATGAACCTCTGAAACACTTTTACATCATTCTGTTTATTGTTCTTATTCTCCTTTAATTTTAATTTAATGAATCGTGTTGTGGACGCTTCAAATAATGACAACACGGATTTCTTTCAACCATAAATGTGTAAAATAAATGATTGCATTACAACTAAAGTTCATGTTCTAATCAGAAAATAATTTCATCTAAACATATGAGTGATTCAGACATGTGAGTGTAACTTTAAGAAGAGGAACCAGTTCAGGAGAGAAGTTTTGAATCTGTTGCTGGTTTGGATCGACTCGACCTTTGGCTCCTTAAACGTCGTCTCAGATCTTCTCTCGGCTGCAGAGTTCACACGTTTCAGGAGACGTTTGTGATTTCACAGAGAAGACGATGAAACATTGTTTGTTTTTGTCCTCCTCCTCTTCTTCCTCTTCTTCCTCCTCTTCTTCCTCCTGCTGACAGACGATAGACGAGTTGATTTCCTCTTTTCTGTTAATCCTGCGTTTCCTCCCTCCTCCCTGTCGCCACCTTCACTGTCTGCGTCCTCTCCTCCTCTCTCAAACTCCATCACCTTCTTTCCTGCTGAATATTCTCCTCCTGTATCCAACTTTTCACACAAACTGTTTTCTCAGCTTCGCTTTCAGATGTTTTACTTTTTTCAAACCTCGTTTCAGAGTATCTTATCAGTCTTTTCTTTTTGGTGAAAACTCCATTGCATCAACATTTTTCCTTCAAAATCTGCACTTCCCCGTCTGTCCTTCATGAACATAAACTTGTTTATTTATCTAAATAAGAAAGAGCTAAAAAAGATCCTTTCTAGCTGCTTAGTTTGGATTTCTAACCTTCTTAACTCCCTCAAAGGCAAGGTGCAGAATCCGGCCTCTTAGTATTAGCTTTGCACAAAGACTGGAAACGGAGGGAAACTGTTAGCCTAGCTTCATGAAAATCCACCTTCTCAAAGATGTTAACCCCCCCCCCCCCCCCCAGCAGGTTTAGAGACGAGAGGAGGAGAGTGATCGTCAGTGTTTGTGCAGAGTTGTCGTCTGTGTCGGGGACATTTTGACTTTCATATCATTTAAAAAATCTCCAACGTGAGGTTGTGTTCACTCCTCAAAACTGTAGAAGAGGAGAACCCCCCCCCCCCCCCCCCCCAAAGAGAAGGTGCTTAGGTTTGGAGAAAAAGAGGAAGCAATTACGAAAATGAAAGCCCTTCGCACTGCAAGAATTTTCATCTCTGCAGTTGCCATGGTAACTGGCCCGGGCCTCCTCCTCCTCCTTCTTCCCTCACTGAGCCGCTCTGCAGCACAATACGACAGAACGAAGGGATTTTCACAGAAGAAGAAAAGGAGGGGAGGAGGAGATCTGAGATCAGGAGGGGAGGAGGGGAGAGAAAGAAAACAGGTCATTGAAACGGTGCAGGTTGGGTTCAGTTCAGCAGAGAAGACTCATCACTTGTTCTCTTTTTTTACAAACCTTTTTAAAAAACAATTCATCTTTATTTGAACCGTTTGAAAATTAAAAATAACTCCAGCGTTCTCCAGATCGGCCTCGCTGAGAGCGTCAGAGTGTCCTGATTAAACTACAAACATGGAGATCAAACTTCTCGGCTCGGCTTCGTTTATCGTCTGAGTTCAAAACAATCTGAAGAAAAAATAAAAGCAGAGCCGAGAAAACATCTGGAGGCGTCAGACGAAGAAGTGAGCATGTTGATGTTTAGACAGATTCTGTTTCAGAGAAATCTGAAGCAAAGGGAAATCAAATCCAGAGTTCTGAGGGAACCGATTGTGCTTCAAGTTACATCTTCAGAGATTTAAATGTATTTAATCAAACTTTGTTTATCTCTGTCGCCTGCAGCTTGTCAGGATGTAATATCTGATTTCACGATATTCACACTCAGCTCCGACCTCCATCTTTGTAGCGGCTGAAGAGTTTCCTTCTTATCGACATTTTCTTCGACCTTAAACAAGTTTTTTCGGTTTTCTTCATTATTTAGTATTTCCCTGTTGAACTTTTTTTGGTTTACGTGATAGATTTTTGATTTCCCAGCATGCATCTGGTGTCAGATGCACAGAGTGGTGTAGTGGGAGCTCCCCCTGTGGTCAGTGGTGGTTACTACAATAACAACTCAAATAAAAAGAGACATATTTATACATGCTATAAAACGTTCTTTTTTTTTTTTCTTAAAGTTTAGTTTGAAATTCTGCAGGACGACTTCCTGCTCTGATGGTTTCCTGTTTGTCCTGTTTCTACTGGTTTGACTGGTTTGAGATTTAGGGTCCTTCACAGGTTTTCAGGGATTTAAATACAAGACTATTGTTGACTGATTAATAATCCCACGATGTGAAGCATGAACGATGTCTGCAGCTGATCAGAACACTAAACGAGTGCGACGAGTAGTTTTAATCTAAAAGATCTGATAAAAACATGAAAAAGTGCTGAATCTAAGTGTTGCGTTTGTGTGCGTTTCAGATGCTGGGAACTCTCACTGCTGTGCCCATCAAGGTGCCTCAAGTCAGCTCGCTGCACCGGCTGGCAGGACAAGCAGCCACTCTGCTACCTCAGGTAACGCACAACACAGTGTAGTAACAACAATCTGTCTGTTGTCATGGTGACGCCGCATGAAGCAGACTGAAACACAGAGTGCAGTGATTGAATCCGTCCAGCAGGCGGCAGCACAAACCACAGTGACTCTGAGTGAATTAAAGAACAGTCTCTATAATGACCCCCCCCCCGTTCTGCTCCTCCTCCAGGTCAGGCCAAAGACCCAGATCCCCGACAGCCTCCCCCACGCTCCCTGTCAGGAGCTGCAGCCGCTCAGCCTGCAGAGAGCCACCGCTGTGGTCAGTCCCAAGAGCGGGGGTCCCACCCTGCCCACCGCCAACAGCACCTTCAGCCCAGAACACCAGCCCAACGGACAGAGCGACGCCTCGCCGCCCTCGGCCCCGCCCCACGGCCAGTCAGTGGGCAAAGACTCCAGCGGTCTCGCCCAGCACACCGCCGCAGCGGGGCCCGGCGTGGCGTACGCCATCATCGCCGCCTCCCCCGCCACTGGAAATGGAGTGTCCGCTGTCAGCGAGGCCGTCAAGGTGAAGACACTTCTCCGCAGCCCCGACTCGAGGACGCCGTCTCTGAAAACAGACTCTAACTCGCCCTCCGTCTCTCTCTCTCTTCACCAGGTGATCATCATCCAGCCTCAGGCGCCCAGCAGCACCGAGGGCTCTCCGGGGGCTCAGGCTGACCTCCCCTCACAGGAAGCTCCGCCCACACCCAAATCCCCGTCTCAGAAAAAAGAAGAGGACCCCGAGGTGAGTCGACAAACGGCCAATAAGGGATGCAGGTTCCGACGGCAGCTTAAAGTCACAGAAGAAGAAAACACAAGACGTAAAGTAAAGGTCTGACTCCTCCTCCTCGCTCACTTCCTCTTCCTCTTCCTCTTCTCTCACAGAAAATCGCCTTCATGGTCGCCCTCGGCCTCGTCACTACAGAGCACCTGGAGGGTGAGTCCACTATCTTCTCTGTGGATTTACTTTCTGTCACATTGAAGATGTTTGAAGACTAGCGAGGCGAGCGGAGCCGGCAGGACAAGATGGCGGCCTCCTGGTTCTTTTATATTTTTTTTTAAACTGTCGTCATGGAGGAGGACGCCATCTTGTCCTCTCTGGCTCCGCCCACAGTCAAAAAGTCCCACTTGTGATTGACTGGAGTTTGAATGTTGTTTTGTCTCTGAGCAGAGATCCAGACGAAGCGACAGGAGAGGAAGAGACGAAGCACAGCCAACCCGGCGTACAGCGGCCTCTTCGAGCCGGAGGTCAGAAACACGTTTTTCTAAACGTTCAGAGAATCAAGAAGAAACCACGAGTCTCCATTCACTGGAAACAACAAGAATAATATCTAAACACACGTTTGTCATCACACCAGAGTTTTAAACCTCGATAGTTACCATGGCAACCAAAATTCTTAAGTTTAGGGCCCCACATGGCGAGGAAAACTCGACCACAGCGTCGAGTTCTCCTCGCCATTTCTGATGGTCGTTTTTAAAGTTTTGATACTTCTCCATGAAATAACAGATTGTATGGTTTTAAAAACGTCTGGTCTCATGGAGTACTGATCGGATTGTCTGACTGCTCTCTCTCTCTCTCTCTCTCTTTTCTCTCTCTCTGCTCTCTCTCTCTCTCTCTCTCTTCTCTCTCTCTCTTCTCTCTCTCTTTCTCTCTCTCTCTCTCTTCTCTCTCTCTCTCTCTCTCTTCTCTCTTCTCTCTCTCTCTTCTCTCTCTCTTCTCTCTGCAGCGTAAACGTTTGGCGTCACATTACCTGAACAGCTCGCTCTTCATGTCAGCACGAGGTAAGAACACGCCTCAGGACGCGCTCAGATAAACGCCGGCGTCAACGCAACACGACTGAAAACACGTCAAGAGTCTGAGAGATGATTTTTTTATAAAGACGCTGAAACAGAATGATGACCTGATGATGTCATCAGTATGAAATATATAAATATATCACCTGTCCTGTGTGTTGTAATCCACACACACACACACACACCATCATATTAAACCTGATCACATCTTTAAAGGAACAGTTCAACAATCATAGAAATGATTTAATTGGAATAAATGTTGTTCTGTGTGTGTGTGTTTCTGCCACTAACCTCTGCTCTGCTTCGTTCACATGCTCAGACTCTGAGGATTTCTGCTGGAAGGTAGGTACCACCACTGATGATGTCACACTTTTCCCGCTGAAACTTTTAAGTTCAAGCTTTATTTATAAAAACATCAAACAGCGTTACCCAAGGTGGGCACACATCCATGATAACTAAAGACAGATTTGATATTTATCATAGGGTGACCATACGTCCCCATCTGTCCTGTTTTTAAGCTCTATGTCCCGAGTCCTCACAAATATCTATAGAACACCAACATGTCAACCAACCAGAACACCACACCATGCTAACAACATTTGACAGTTAGCCTTAAAATGAAAGAGTCCAGATTCTGAGGTTTATTTTTTGTGCTTTTTATCTTGAATGTGGCTTCAAAGAGTTTAAGGAGACTTTGTCCAGAAAGCAGTTTGACGTTGTTTCTGAGCGGTGTGTGTGTGTGTGTTGTGTTTGTGCGTCAGGAGGACGTGGAGCATGACGAGCACTGCGCTGTCTGTAAGGAGGACGGAGAGCTGCAGCCCTGTCACAACTGCCCCAGAGCCTTCCACCCAAACTGCCTCCACCCGCCGCTGAAAACCCCCCCGAGAGGACCCTGGTACTGCCCCAAGTGTCAGAAAAAGGTACTGACTACAATTCTACAATTCACAACAATTCGAAATATCAGGATACAGCTCACTGAAGGGATATCTAAAGATAAAGTGTGCTCAGAGTAAGATCATTTAATGATGAAGAAACGCTTGATGGATGACGGCTGTGAGGTGTTCTTCTTCATTTGTTTACAATTCTACAATTCACTTAGCAGACTCTTTTCTCCAAAGCGACGTACATCAGAGAGTAAGAACAACACAAGCAAGGATCTAGAAAAAAGGGAACAATGTGAGTAAGAGCAAACGATCAGCTTTGAGTCTGATTGGACACACAGGTGCTGACAGGAAGTGACCAGAGGCAAAGCATAACATTGAGGGCAGTTCTTGAGAGCTCTAATCAGTATAGAAACCATCTTATAAGTCGTCGTTATCAAACAAAAACCATCGTCATTACCATCATCATCATCAATAATATGGAGACCATCATCATTAAGTTAGTAGGTATTCATGAAAGAGCTGGGTCTTTAGTTTTTTCTTAAAGGTGCAGAGGGACTCTGCAGATCACATGGAGTTTGGAAGTTCATCCCACCACCGGGGGGCGACAGAGGAGAAGAGTCTAGTCAGCTTCTTAGGACCCTGTTGTGAAGGTTGGATCAGACGCCTTTCATTGGCAGAGTGTAGAGGGGGGGGGAGTGTAGACTGACTGCGGCGCCTTTGAATCAAAAGTTACTTTAAGATCTCCACAACTGCTGCAGCGGGTTTTAAGAGTGGCAGAGGCTCGACGTCGGCTGGAAACACATTTAGGATGAAATGATTCCAAGAGCAGTTTGAATTCTTCTGCAGTTAACTCCTCGCTTTAAGCTCAAAGACTGGAATCAGCAAGGCTCTGTTTGAAGTTGTAAAATATATCTACAGCTGTGACATGCAGCGAGTTGAAATCTTTACTCTGAACGTGTTTCCTGCTGTGTCCTCAGGTGCTGAACAAAGAGAACATGTCGTGGCCACAGAACTTTGTGCAGTCGTACGTCACCCACAAGACGGGTAAGAACCAGCGGACTCCTCCATCACAGTTTAAAGTTAGAGTGTGTGTGTGCTGATGGGATGTGTGTGTGTGTGTGTGTGTGTGTGTGTGTGTGTGTGTGTGTGTGTGTGAGCAGTGAGGCAGGAGGAGAAGCGACGGCTGCTGAGACGAAACAACGAGCTGAAGAACGAGTGTGCTCACCTGGAGGAGCAGGACGAGAAGCTCAACAGCTCGCTCAAAGTAAGAACACAAAGGGTTAAAAACGTTGTCTGTTTCAAAACAAACGTTTCTGACAACGTGAAACCTTTGTCCTCGTGTGTGTGCGCAGCAGTGTATGGACCTGAGGGAGCGCCTGCTGGGGCAGCAGAGGGACACTCAGGCGTCGCTCGAGCGCCTCAAAGCTCTCATCCGCCTGATCCAGCGCGACCAGCTCATCCAGGTCACCATGACGACCACCGCCACCATCGCCGCCTCCCTGCTCTCCCAGTCCTGGATCAAACAACCCACCAGCATTACCGCCACAGCCGCTGCCGCCGTCGTCGCCGCCGCCACCCCGGGGCCCTCGGCCACGCTCCTGCAGAAGAGCCACGCCCACAGCCAGGACGATGCCAACAACTAGCCCCGCCCCCCTTTTCCCCCACACGGCCGTGATGATTTCTTTTTATCTGAAGATGATATCTAAGCGTCTTTTCTCCGAGAAGCTGAAAACAAACTGAGAAAGCCTCTATCCTCCACGATTCAAGTATTTTTTAAAACCCAACACCTACAGTGCTTAACGAGATTTCTTTTTTTAAGTTCTTTTCTATTTATTAACGTTCTTGGCCTTAATGTATTTATTACAAAAAGTTAGCAGACAGCGCCGCCGCCGTCGCCGGGAACACGACGGGGGCGGCCCAAAAGATATGTCCCTCTTGTTCTGCGTATAGTGAGAGAGAACAGTAGAGCTAGTCGTAGTAGAAGAAACACAAAGCATTGTGGGAAGTGAACGGACTGTACATTGATATATCGGAGTAGATGTTGAACAATGTTTTTGCCATAAGAATTCAGGAAACGTTCCATCAGTGTGTGTGTGTGTGTGTGTACACGAGCCTTCAAACAAACAGAGAAGAACTTTTGTTCAGTATTAAAATAGAGTCAAAGAAAAAAAGTATTTAAGATTAAACTACAGAAATTAGCGTTTCTAGTGGAGAGTTTAGTATTTTCATGCTGATGCCTGTTGATAAATGTCGGGAGTATTCGAGGGGATCACTGTACATACGTTGTATTATTATCTTCTTCATCAGCGCAGGGTTTTTTATTTTTCTGGGTTTCAAACTTTATTCAAACTCACATCAGAGACGAACCCTGAAAGTTTAACTCTTTGTTCTCCGTCTGACACTGAAACAGGTTTGTGGTCTTATGAGGACGTTACACACACACTCCTTATAAGGGCGTTTCCAAATCACGTCTGAACTCAGATCTCAGAGCGGGGGATGACATCACACCCGAGTTAACCACGTCTCAGTTGCGAGTCGGACAAACAACATGGACGCCTCCAGGAGTAGCTTTTGTCTTGTTAGCTAACACGCTACGTTGATAGTTAGCGTTAGCGCGCTAAAATAAAACGACGATAGTATCGTGAAGTTCTAACTACACACAGACGTCCACGCTGCTTCTACACACGGCTTAAACGTTACTTGGCGGCCATGTTGGATTTTAGCTCGGGCCACTGAAGGTTTTCCGAGTTTCCAAGTCGGATTTTTCGGCTTCAGGAGGCCGTTCCTCATCACGTATTAACACTGGCGACTCGGAATTTCCTACAAGCTGATATCATCGGTCGATATCAACATATCCAGTGACCATCGGTATCGGCTGATTTCATCGCCTGTGGTCCAGTGGTTAGTGCGCGCAGCCCACGTACAGACGCTGAGGTCGTTGAGTTTGCACCGTGAAGTTTTGTTTTATTGGTCAGACGGAGAACAAAGAGTTGAACAGCAGAAGGGACCAAAGGTTTTTTTTGTTTTCACAGCTGCACTCAAACACGACCACGCCGAGGAGTTCAGACGGCGTGCGATGCATCCATTCAGTCCCCTCCCCCTTAAAAAAACCAGTATGAGAAAATATGCCAAAAACTTGTTTCTTTGTTTTTGTACTGGGATCGCTCATTCCTCAATAATGTCTATAGTGCTTTTTTTCCTCCCTGCCTCTTTTATATTTTTGGCTTTTTTACTCTTCGTGTTTTACGGACGTTTTAACGGCGTCGAGCCCGTTAATCTGATGAACACTGCCTCAAGTACAAATGGTTTTTTAAAATCCACACTTTTTTTTTTGTCTTTGTTGCGTCATTTTTATAAAAACACCAGTCAATCAGATGTGGGACTCAAGTGTCAAACTGCAACAACACTTTTTGACTGTGGGCGGAGCCAGAGAGGGCGAGATGGCGTCCTCCTCCATAACGACAGTTTAAAACAAGAACCAGGAGGCGGCCATCTTGTCCTGCCGGCGCCGCTCGTCTCGCTAGTCTTCCTGCTGGTCCAGAAAGGTTCAGTTTAAGTGTAAAAAAAAAAAAAAGCGTAGATGTAGATCTTTGTTTTCTTTCTTTATCGAACTCGCCACACAGTCGAGGTGCGGCGCCCTGACGCCGGTCGAGGCGCGGCGCTCTGACGATGCACAAACATGAACAAATGGTCGAAAGAATCCCGAGGAAAATGCCTTTAACGAAAGAGAACGAGGGAGTGACGACGTGAAGAAGGTTTTTTATTTAGTTTGAATCATATCAGCTCACCTGTGTTTGCTCTCTTCACATCGTCTGTACGGCACAAACGTTTCAACACGTATCAGGTCATCATCACGCGGTTTCAGGGGCGGCGAACAAAAAGGAGGTTAAACGGCGAGCAATACCACATCAGAACCGTTCATAACGGGGTCATACTCGGAGTTTACTGAAGCTTTTTAAAGATCTTTGATTTCCTGTGAAGCTAAAAAGGCGACGTCACACTTTAAAATCTCGTGGAAAGTTTAGCGCAATGTAGAAAACGAGGAAATCTCAACTTCTAAAAAAATGAATTATTAAAGAATCCAACGACGTGTTTGAAGCATCACTCCCCTCAAAGTTAGTAAGAGCGTTGTATGTAAAGCTGCACAGACCGTTAACTCTTATCATCGTTTTACTTCTGCAGCCGTCGAACAAAACCAAACAAAACTCGATCTGATAGATGTGACCTCACAGGACATCACCTCTCTTCACTCTGAGCCCCGTTATGTTTAGAAAAATATATTTATTAAACGCGCTTTATCAGAACACAGAGCCTGGTGTCTGCTCGTGGAGCTTATTAGAAACATGCAGAGGCTTTTTAGGTCGGGTACAATCACTTCTATCTGAACCACTTCTCTTGACCGCTTCCATCGCTGCAACACTGTTGACCTGATAACTGCTCTCATATCTGACAAACCGAGGGGCGTCCAAAACGGCGGTGTGGGGGCGTGTCTTAAAAGCGCCTACCTTCTCTGGTCCAAACAAATCCAGAGCATTCAGGAGCAGAATCTAAAGTTAGAAGGAGGACATACTGGCTGCTGCATGTTTCCTGAATGTCTGATCATATAGTAAGCTCACTTTATCATTTCACTGATTGGACCTTTAATTACCTTAACGATCAGAGTTGACGCTCAGCGGGTCGGTCCAGGCTCTGTGTCTGTAATAAAGCAGCAGATATGCAGAAACATGAAACCTAACATGCCTTTAAGAATGAATCATGATCAGTGCAGAATGTACCGTATGAAGCATATCCAGAGGGAAACCATATCAGCGCTCCGTGCCGCGTCCAAACCTCCATTAATAAATCAATAAAATAAACAACCCTCCACCCCCGAAAACCTCCTTCATCCGTTTCTAGAAATCTTCTCCGGGAGAAACTGTGCAGTGCTTAAACAGATCTATTTTAATACACGACACAAGACATTTGAACAAAGAAGAAAAAAAAAAAGTTAGAACATTTTTATATTCTTTTATCAAGGAGCAAAAAAAATGAGAAAAGGAAACCGAACATTTTGAGGTTTTTTTTTTTTTTTTATTGTTTGCCGGTTTCTGCATTCCGACTTCGAGCTTGCAACGTGCGATGTGTTCTTTTTGCCACAAGGGGGCGACGAGGAAACGACGACGACACGTTTAGATGGGAAATGAAAATGTCTGTTGAAGTAGAAGTTTTTTGGTTTGTCATTAATAACGGGGACTGTCCAGTGGATAGTGTGTATAGGAAAGTGTTTGTCTTAAATATGCCAATGTAGTTTTTTTCTTCTTCTTTATGATGCATTAAAAAAAAAGTGGATCGATGGAAAAGTTGATAAATGATTCAAGAGTAGTCTCACTTTTTTGTACCGAGTTCTTACGAAAAATGGAATCATTAATAAACAAAAATTCAAGAACAAAACGTTTGAATGAAGCGTCTGTTTTCACATCAGGAACACCTTTACACAAACAGGACACAAAGTTCAGAGTGAAGACTTTTCAAAATACTGATTCATTCCTTTTACCGTCGACATGTTTTCTGGTAACAAGAAGTCAGAACTTCACATCTCTGATCAGTAACACGTTTAGACTTTTTCATTAAATCACTCAAAGTCTTTATTTGTTATTTTTAACCCTTAAATGTAGAAATCAAGCATCTCCTCTGAAAATAACTCTGTGAGTCATGACTGTCTACAATGGGTGTAACACCCGAGTCCCACTGTCTGTGATGTTTTCAGAGTCCTATCTTCAGGGGAGGGGCTTATTACAAAATGTAAAAATATCAACACACAGATGACCTCATCAGACGCCTGATTTGAGCGCCTCAGATTTTTCTTTTTCAAGCTCACAAACAACAATCAACATCATCTAAAAAAGTGACAGCAAATCAAATAATAATAAAGAGAAGGAGAGCAGAGTGAACGTGCAGCTTCAGTCTTTAAAGTCTTTGAGAGTCGACCTCCAGGTGAGAAGAATATCCACAGGAAGAGGTGAAGTCGACAGGTGAGATATTTTGACCCTGAGCCCTAGGTGATGCAACAATGTCCCAAAACAACCAAAAAAATTATTCCAGAGGAAGAGACCACCAGGTGTTCAGGGTAATACCTGTGCAGGTTCAGAGTGATACCTGTGCAGGTTCAGAGTGATACCTGTGCAGGTTCAGAGTGATACCTGTGCAGGTTCAGGGGTTACCTGTGCAGGTTCAGGGAGTTACCTGTGCAGGTTCAGAGTGATACCTGTGCAGGTTCAGGGGTTACCTGTGCAGGTTCAGGGAGTTACCTGTGCAGGTTCAGAGTGATACCTGTGCAGGTTCAGGGGTTACCTGTGCAGGTTCAGAGTGATACCTGTGCAGGTTCAGAGTGATACCTGTGCAGGTTCAGAGTGATACCTGTGCAGGTTCAGGGGTTACCTGTGCAGGTTCAGGGAGTTACCTGTGCAGGTTCAGAGTGATACCTGTGCAGGTTCAGGGAGTTACCTGTACAGGTTCAGGGGGTTACCTGTGCAGGTTCAGGGAGTTACATGTGCAGGTTCAGAGTGATACCTGTGCAGGTTCAGGGGGTTACCTGTGCAGGTTCAGGGAGTTACCTGTGCAGGTTCAGGGGGTTACCTGTGCAGGTTCAGGGAGTTACCTGTACAGGTTCAGGGGGTTACCTGTACAGGTTCAGGGGGTTACCTGCGCAGGTTCAGGGTAATACCTGCGCAGGTTCAGGGAGTTACCTGTTCAGGTTCAGGGGGTTACCTGTGCAGGTTCAGGGTAATACCTGTGCAGGCGGGCTGCGGGAGCCGAACACGGCGTGGTAATGTTCGATGAGGATCTCGGTGAAGATGTTGACGGGCGTCAGAGCGTTCAGAGAGAAGGAGCCGTGACGAGGCCACAGCAGGTTGACCCCGAACACACAGGCCAGGTTAGAGGGACTCATCTTGTTCACGATGCTCTCCTGAGACACCTGAAGGAGGGAACAGGATTTAGACACAACCTACACAGGAAGTAGTTGATAATGATCAGCGAGTGTGAACGAGCGAGTCAGATGTACCATGTGGAGGAAACAGAGCAGGAACTTTGTCACGATGAAGTTTTGTTCAGGAAGACTTTCAATGATCTGTTTACACCTGCTGACCCTCAGACTGCTCTCCACACCTGGAACACAAAAACAAACAAAAACTGTCTCATGTCTCTCCTCTCTTCCTCTTGTCTCTCCTCTCTTCCTCTTGTCTCTCTTCCTCTTGTCTCTCCTCTCTTCCTCTTGTCTCTCCTCTCTCTTGTCTCTCCTCTCTTCCTCTTGTCTCTCTTCCTCTTGTCTCTCCTCTCTTCCTCTTGTCTCTCCTCTCTCTTGTCTCTCCTCTCTTCCTCTTGTCTCTCCTCTCTCTTCCTCTTGTCTCTCTTCCTCTTGTCTCTCCTCTCTCTTCCTCTTGTCTCTCCTCTCTTCCTCTTGTCTCTCCTCTCTCTTCCTCTCGTCTCTCCTCTCTCTTCCTCTTGTCTCTCCTCTCTTCCTCTTGTCTCTCCTCTCTCTTCCTCTTGTCTCTCCTCTCTCTTCCTCTTGTCTCTCCTCTCTTCCTCTTGTCTCTCCTCTCTCTTCCTCTCGTTTCTCCTCTCTCTTCCTCTTGTCTCTCCTCTCTCTTCCTCTTGTCTCTCCTCTCTCTTCCTCTCGTTCTCCTCTCTCTTCCTCTTGTCTCTCCTCTCTTCCTCTTGTCTCTCCTCTCTCTTCCTCTTGTCTCTCCTCTCTCTTCCTCTCGTTCTCCTCTCTCTTCCTCTTGTCTCTCCTCTCTCTTCCTCTTGTCTCTCCTCTCTCTTCCTCTCGTTTCTCCTCTCTCTTCCTCTTGTCTCTCCTCTCTTCCTCTTGTCTCTCCTCTCTCTTCCTCTTGTCTCTCCTCTCTCTTCCTCTCGTTTCTCCTCTCTCTTCCTCTTGTCTCTCCTCTCTCTTCCTCTCGTTTCTCCTCTCTCTTCCTCTTGTCTCTCCTCTCTCTTCCTCTTGTCTCTCCTCTCTCTTCCTCTTGTCTCTCCTCTCTTCCTCTTGTCTCTCCTCTCTTCCTCTTGTCTCTCCTCTCTCTTCCTCTTGTCTCTCCTCTCTCTTCCTCTTGTCTCTCCTCTCTTCCTCTTGTCTCTCCTCTCTCTTCCTCTCGTTTCTCCTCTCTCTTCCTCTTGTCTCTCCTCTCTCTTCCTCTTGTCTCTCCTCTCTCTTCCTCTCGTTTCTCCTCTCTTCCTCTTGTCTCTCCTCTCTCTTCCTCTTGTCTCTCCTCTCTCTTCCTCTTGTCTCTCCTCTCTTCCTCTTGTCTCTCCTCTCTCTTCCTCTCGTCTCTCCTCTCTCTTCCTCTTGTCTCTCCTCTCTCTTCCTCTTGTCTCTCCTCTCTCTTCCTCTTGTCTCTCCTCTCTTCCTCTTGTCTCTCCTCTCTCTTCCTCTTGTCTCTCCTCTCTCTTCCTCTTGTCTCTCCTCTCTTCCTCTTGTCTCTCCTCTCTTCCTCTTGTCTCTCCTCTCTCTTCCTCTTGTCTCTCCTCTCTCTTCCTCTTGTCTCTCCTCTCTCCTCTCTCTTCCTCTTGTCTCTCCTCTCTCTTCATCTTGTCTCTCCTCTCTCTTCCTCTTGTCTCTCCTCTCTCCTCTCTCTTCCTCTTGTCTCTCCTCTCTCTTCCTCTTGTCTCTCCTCTCTCTTCCTCCTAACTCTTCTCATTATTCATCTCTGCCTTCATCTCGTCGTCTTAACAGTATTTCTCCTAATCTTTATCCTCCTCCATCTTTTCCTCGAGTTGTCTTCTCCCTCCAGTCACCTGCTCTCCTTTTAACCTTTCCCCTACTCTTCCTCCTCTTCCTCCTCCTCCTATTCTTCCTCCTCCTCCTCCTCCTATTCTTCTTCCTCCTCCTCCTCCTCCTATTCTTCTTCCTCCTCTTCCTCCTCTACTCACTGAGGAGCTCCAGGACCTGGTTGTAGACTCTGAAGGTGAGCAGAGGTTCTGGAAGTTCTCTGAGGAACGTTTTGAGGATCACAGCGGGAACGTGGACGTCTGAGAACTCATCAAAGTTTACAGGTTTACCTGAGGACGTTCAAATACAAACTTTATTAACAAAGCGCACAAACAGGAACATATGACACAAACGAGTCTGAATGACAGAGTCTGAAATGCTCCTCTGTGTGTCGACAGACAAACACTCAATCTGCAGTGTGTGTGTGTGTACACGTTATCATCACACACACTCTGATCTTCTCTGCCTGCTACTGTGAGATAAAAAAAAGCCCCTGCTGCTGAGATAAGGAGACCCCACTCACCCAGGTTGTAGAGTTTCTGAATGTCCTTGATGACCTGAACACGAGGCGAGCGTCTGAAGATCCCCTCCGTCCTCAGGCCTACACACACACACACACACACACACACACACACACACACACACACACACACACACACACACACACACACACACACACCACACACACCACACACACACACACACACACACACACACACACACACACAACACACACACACACACACACACACACACACACACCATCATTCCTGTCTCTCTCTAAGATTCAGTAGATAAGATACTGTAAACGCTGTGAACAGTCACATGCCGCAGTACTCATTTTAACCACTAGGTGTCAGAGTTTCATACTGCTCCTTCAGCATCATGTCCACACTCACCTTTCTCCTTCAGGTAGGCGACGGTCTGAGAGACGACGGGGGGGATGACGGCGTCCCGGTTCTTCTCTCTGATGCTGCAGAACAAAAAAGAAAAACAGGTTTTTTATTCATCGTCACAGACTCACTTTTTAAATTCATAAGAAGTCGTGAAGGGTGCAAAACAAAAACTCACTACTGCAGACTGACGCCAAACTGCTGCGTGGGCAGGGGGGGTCGAGGCGGGGGGGTCTTCATGGAGGGAGGGGGTCCGCCTTTCTGAGCAGCGAGGAGCTTTTCATCGTGCCTGAGAGAAATGAGAGAAATCAAACATAAAAAACTGATGAAGATAAAAGTCTTCAGTGATTTTATAGTTTGAGATCGGGTGTGTGACCTGGCGACGTCGGCCGGGACGACGAGCTGCTCGTAGTTCAGGTGATCTCTCAGCTCGGCCAGGTAGTTCACGTACGTCAGCTTCTTCCCGAACTTGTGACTGGAAACAAAAAGTGAAGGAGAAAGTGGAGCGTGAGAGGAGACGCGTGAGGTGAGTCTGACGGGTGTTTCTTTCATTACCTGATGAGAGGTTTGAAAATGTTCCAGACGATTCTGATGAAGTTTGTGGGATGGACGACGTACAGAGTCTTCAGGTTCTTCTTGTATCTGAACGAAGAACAAACACAGGCTGTCATTAAAATGCTAACAAAGCAGCGCCGAGGAGCGAGCGACTTCATCAGCTGTAAGTTAAAAAAGTGAAGCTGGGTCGACGTACTTCCTGTCGAACTCGCTGTACGCTTCTCGTAACCACTTCAGAGACGGTTTGTTGCTGCTCCTCAGACCGTGATGGAAGTAAACCAGGATGTAGTCCATCTCCACGTACTGGTCCAACGTGAACTTCAGAAATCTGCACACAGGAAGTGAGGTCACAGCTGGTTTCTAAAACATTTATTTCACTTTAAAAAAGGTCTTGAAGGTGTGTTACTTATTCGACCAATCAGGTGAGAGCTCGGCTGGGATGAACAGGAAGTCATCACAGAGTTACATGTTTATAATCTCAGAGAGCAGCCTCGTGGTTCTAAAGTGTTTTCACATCTTTATTTCAGTGTTCAGTAAAGCCGAGCTGCAGATTTGAACTTGAAACAGAAAGGCTCAGCGGACGTACTCGAGGAGGCGCCGGTGGTTCAGCTGGTGAGACGGAGGCAAACAGCAGCTGCTGAAGACGATCAACTTCCTGCCGTAGTTGTCGTCACCTGGAGAGAAAGAAGAGACTTTTTCAGGTTCTTCTTCCACACGTGGTCGACACAGTTTCTCTTTACGACAACATATTGGAACACGTTCTGTTTTTCTGAGTGTTGCTGCGTGAGGTTACAACAGGTGCAGAGGTCAAAATGTTCAGCTCCGCCTCCAACAAGTCGTTTGAGCTCATTTCTGTTCTCGGCTAATCCACAAGTCTCTTGAGCAAAAAAAATGTTTCTATAAACACCACTCAACAATATGATCCAATCAAATTCATCACAACGTTAAGTCCCGCCTTCTATCTTGTGATTGGTTCTATCACATGTCAGTTGGAAAAACGTCCTGACTGAGCAGCTCCAGCTCTCAGAAGGTTAGACTGAGAGTGTTTCCAACATGGCGGCGGCTGCCCTCGCCGTTAGAGATGTGTGACATCACTCAGTCTATGGTCACGACACCGCAGTTACAAACTCTTAAAGTTTCTCTTCATGGGAATTTAAAAAGTTGTAGTTCTGGAACATTTTTAGGAATTATTCAGTAATAATATGTTTTAGCCACTAGGGGGCAGCAGAACGAGCTGTAATGACATATAATCATTTTATAAAGTGTGACATCATGTTTGTGAATAAACTTTTAATTTGAAATTAAACTGCATAAAATCCAAACTTTGAGCTGAAAGATTTTTGAAGAAGAGTTTGATTTACTGACCGCAGACCTGGATGATGCCGTGTCGGGCCACGTCGTAATACGGGTGCGAGGGATCAGGACTGCTGGGAGGAACCGACGGAGCGTCTGTGACACACATCTGATCCTCCTCTTCCTCCTTCTTCAGCTCTGAAGTGTTTCAAAAAGACAAATACACACTTTTAGGATGAAGTCTAAAATAAGAAACGATTAAAAGGATAAACAAACACCGATGGAGAACCGTGACTCCTGATCTGCACCGCCCAACGTCTTCTAAACGAGTTCCTTATCTGCACTCTGAGTTTCTATAAATACAGACTTATCAGAGAGGAAAGCCCCCCCCCCCGGAGCCGAGCCAGAGGACTGGGTGGAAACCTGATTCACGGTCTGTTCTCTGCTCTGGATGTTTATTCTGCTGCAGCGGGGGATTAACACAAAGTGAGTCTGATAAGAGAGAGGAAACCATCCTGACGCTCCGATGGCTTCACAGAAACTCTCAGAGTTACTGAGAAACAGATGAAGGAACCAAAGTGTTAAAGTATGAAATCAAACCCTGATAGTGATTCAGACAGGAAGTGAAGAACGCTCAGCTTCAGACAGAACCAGAATTCAAATCAAATGTAGATAATAAGACGACATACAGAAGTTTCTGTACTAAGTATTTAATACAATTAACGTTTACTAGATTAAATGAATTAAAAGAATTGATTATTGTTACTCACCTATCTCCGCCAGCTGCTCCAGGTCGGATGTGGAGGTCATGGTTGGAGGATGTCGGTCACTTCGAGGAGGAAAAACATAAACATGATGTAGAATATAAAACAGAAATCAACAGATTTAACATCAGAATGATGATCTGATTCTGACTCGTTATAGAATAGAATAGAATAGAATACAATACAATAGAATAAAATAGAATAGAACAGAACAGAATGACTTTATTGATCCCAAACTGGGAAGTTGTGTTGTTACAGCAGCAGGTTGTCCAAACACACAATATGAGTAAAAAACACAATATTAGCAAATTTAAACACAATATAATATTAAATACAAAGTAAATAAGCGCTAAAAATATCAAAACTAAGAATGAGAATATATACAACCAGGATTTAACTAAACATTACTAAGTCTTAAATATGAATATTAAATGTAAATGTGCAGAAACAGAGTAGTAAATGGACAGTATTGATAAGTTAAAGTGAAGCTGTTTCATTATCTAAAGCAGCTCCAGATGAAACCACACACACACACACACACACACACACACACACACACACACACACACACACACACACACACACACACACACACACACACACACACACACACACACACACACACACACGTCAGGTGAACTCGCTGTAAGCTAGCAGGTATGATGCTAACTGTTATTGCAGATTTATAGACTCGTTAAACTTCATTAAACTTATTAATTATCCACTAACGGTCGTTTTTATCTCAACACACGTGACGTGAGTGTTTCTAAAGTTCCGTGAGGTGACGTTAAGTCGTTCTGAAGGGAGAAACACTCACCTGGAGCTGCAGGTTTCAGCTAACACTTTAATGAGTCCACAGGTAGAAAAGTTGATCCAAACTTCCTCAAACAACCGCCGCCTGGACGCGCATGCGCAGATCAAACTCACAAGGAAAACTCGGAGTGATGACATTTTTTAAAATTTTTCCACAAAAATAAAACGTTTAAAAACCTCTGAGATATTTAACAAAAGTAAAAATCTTAATGTGACAGTTCAGGTACACTCGGTTAAAAGTAAAAGTGCTGATTATTTATTAATCTTCATTTTCCTTCCTTCCAATTTCAAGGTTGCAAGAATATTTCACCAGACTCCAAAAATTTTCATCGTTTTTCTTCCCCAATTTATATATGAATTAAATTAACTTACAATTTAAAAATAAGCGAAATTTAGCTCAGTGCTAAACTTCTAGCATTATTTCTATGTTGATGTTGTTTTACTTTGTAAAGAGTCTAAACTTCCTCCATCTCTGCAGACGAGGCAGATTTACCTGTGCTGCTTGAAACTATTCAGTAAATGTTTGGCATGTTTCCTCCCTCGGCTTTGTGAAACCAGTTCGGTTGTTTTATCTTCTCAGGTGAATCAGTCGTGTGTGTCTGAGTCCTCAGGTGTTGTTATGCTGACGGTGTCTCACCTGCAGTGACTCGTTTAAAGCTGCAGCTGACAGACTGAGGTGCAGCTCACCTGAACATCCTGAAAATATGAATCCGTGAGCAGCGGCAGGGTTCAGGTTTCATGGTGGATTGAAGATGAAGAGGAAAACTAAAAGTCTCTGAACCTGCAGACTCAGATAGAAAAGAAAAAATGATGGACAACATGTTTATAATGTTCCTCATATTCACAGGACAAAGTAAATGATGACTCGTTCTAGGATTACGTCACTAATAATGCAAGAACAAATGATCTAAAGTCACAGTTTGTCTTTTTTAATGAATTCAGTTAAAACCATGGATTGTAAATATTCGGTTAAATCATGATCACACCTTTCAGATGTCTTCAAAGCAGTTTGTCGGTAAAGTTGTGAAAGCCTGACACCTGCTGGATGGACTTTAAGCTGCAGCAGCTCAGATTAAACCCTGATTTTAGACTCCAAGGTTGAAGAGGACAGAAACAACTGTTAGAGTGAGCTTGGACGTGAATCTGGTCTTTAGTTTATATAAAAGTATGTGAACTTTTTTTCTACTTTCGACGTTTGTACAGATCTTGATGGTCGGATGTAGATTTTATTTATTGATTTAATCAAATTTCTTCTTTCTCTCTTTTTTTGTTCCCATTTGAGAATCTAACAAGAGGATTTTATGATCCAATAAAATATATTTTTTATTCATGTAATTGAATCAAAATCGTGTTCCACAGCATTATTTAATATACTGTTTTACTTGACTTGTGTTTTGATTCATTGCATGTTTTTTCTTTCTTTGGATTTTCAGCCTGGGGTGAGGATAGCGTTTTCCACTTTTCAAACCTGGGTACCTAAATCTCTCTCTGGCTGTCGGATGAATCTCTCAGACAGACACACAGACAGAGGGATATTTGGAGGACAAAATTGGATTTTATTCTTAATACTGCAGCTCTGTCAAACTTAAGTCTGAAGCCTCCTCTCTTTTTCGCTCTCTGTCGGCTCCAGCTGAGGCGTCGGACTCAGAGAGAAGTCCTTCAGGGGAGGATTTACTCACAAACATATTTAAATGCAAAGCTGGCACAAACTCTGTGGGGAGAAATTTCAGAGAAAGAGTCTTTGTTTTTTCGCTCCAGGGCCGTCGGCGTTACTGAGGCGACCGAACAAAGAGGGAGTTACATGAGACAGAAGAGAGCAGAATAAAGACATCAAAAACACCAAAATCAGAGCGCAGTCAAACAATGAAATGTCAGAGGGGTTTTCATTGTTAATAAAGGAGGCAATTAAGCGCCAATTAATCTGTCTTCAAAGCTGATCGGGGTGTTTCTAAAACTTTGTCAGGCTGCTGCAGCTTCTTCTTCTTTTGGGTGTTTTATCTTCACACCCCTCCTTCCACCCAGCTTCACAACTTGTCCTCCCCCTATTACCATTAGAGAACACACAGAGCTCATTTAAAGTTGTTATTTTAGGTTCTTTCTAATTGTGATCTTCAGATATCGGGTTACTTTGCCTTTGGAGTGCCTCAGGGTAGGACACCAGGCCCACTGTTAATTAACATTAATATGTCAGTAGCATCACTCACACTGACGTTTAATGACCAGCACGTCCTTTCCCCCAGAAAAGACAAAAGGTTTGTATCCAGTGACACTCATAAAGTTAATGATGAAGTTGTTTTTTTTAACCTTAAATAATCAGTTTTACCCCTCAGCATGTGCTTGAAGAAAACAAATAAAGGTGTTAAAGGGTACCTGAATATAAATGCTACAAAAAGAGAGAGATAAGGTGAAGTCAAGAGTTTGATCACTGCAATGAGAAAGCCTTAGTAATGATGCATAACTTTGAATAATAATAACTTTATTTATAAAACACCTTTCAAGAACAGAGAGTCAAAAAGTGCTTTACAAAAGCAAGAAAACAAAAACATCAACAATATACAAAACCGATGACGCAACAGCAAGTCTGAAACAAAAAGGTCTGCAGTTGAAGTTGTAGAAAAGAGTCAACAGTTCCCACAGATCTTAGACCCCAAAGGCAGATCGTTCCAAGCATGGTCTCCCTCGGTCTCGGGCCAAAGGAAGTCGGTTCTTCTTTGACCAAATTTAATTAAAACTTAACTTGTAGATTATAAATCGTCCTGTTAAGAGCCTACACAGGATTAACAGAAAACATGACCTTCTCGGTGGAGGTAATTGGCAATTAAACAAGGAACAGCTAAGGCTTATAGGAATAAATGTTCATCAAATGCATCCTTTGGGAAATATAAATGGCCGTACCAAATTGTATCATAATCAGTCCAATAGTTGTTGAGATTTTTAAGTTTAAAGGATCCGTTGGTTGTCCCAAATCATCGGGGGGGGGGGGGGGACCCTCGGGAAAACGGTGACAATTTGTGTGAATTTCATGACAATCCATCTAAAGACTGTTGATGCATTTTAGTTTGGAACAAGATGGTGGACTGACGTTCAAAACAACTTTCACTGTCTTTTGTTAAAGCTTTATTTTAAAACACGATGGACAAAAACTCTGTTATCTAAGAATCAAATCGAATTCACAATCCCGAATAATCCACGACCAATCCTTATCAGTCGTCCACAGTTCCCTCCAGTGGCTTGCCGTATGTGTTCATGATGATAAACTCTGCACAATAACAGTCTCAGCTTCCAATCTGCTCACACAAAAAACACAGAAATACACACCAGCTGAATGTGTCTGTTAGCTTTGGAGGGAAGAAATACCCCCCCAAAAAACAGGGTTTGATATGGTATTCTGTGATTATGCAAATGATGAGAGTACATAAGGGAGTACGTGACCCAAATATGAAGAGAATACTGATGAGCTTAACCACTGGCAGCAGATATTTGACACCTCCACATGCTGTATGACTGAGAAAATATATCTGGAAGATAGATTATAAATACCCCCGGATCTAAATATAGAGAGATGAACTAAATAAACGGACCGTCAGCACAGCCCGGGGACACATCGAACATTTAAAAGAACAAATATTACACTTTGAATTGACTGAACCTTTACGTCTGTATTCCTTCCGTTTCTTTGTAAAGAAAATGTGTCGCTGTGTGAACACAATTATTGAGCTACTTTTTCATCTTTGCACAATAGCGGTGGTGAAAATATTAAGAAATAGAAATTCATATTCATATCTGACCATTACTCCGACTACCTTCCTGTCTTCGGTGTCTTTAAGAAGTACTTCCTCAATCTTCATGTTTGTAGTTTAAACCCATGATTTACTGAATGACCTTGAGTCCAATGTCAATGATTTGGGGAAAGCAGATGTTAAATCGTGAGCTCCACTTTGGTGTTGATTTAAATTCAGCTCTTTATATTTTCCCTTCCTGACAGAAAGCACACATCTCATATATGTTCCCCCACACACACAGTGTTTGTTTTCCTTGGATCAGAGAGCTGTTGAAAAGGACAACAGAGGGGGAGCTGGGATTCCTGTTCATTACAATGTGTTTCCACCAGGCTTTATAAATAGAGTCAGAGTGGAGGGTTGGGTGGGGTTGCTGGGAGGAAAAACAAATCTGGATCAAGCTGAGAGAATCGTTTTGAGACGCTACAGGCGACTTTCAGACTGAAGGATGGAGATGTTCGCTCCGTCTCACATTGTTGAACACGATGGCATGTAGCTGTGAGCCCGCAGAGAGACCGGCAGCCATCCAACCAACCATTATCCATCCAACTGAAGAACTATCCATCGATCTATTTTCCAAACACTATAGAGCTATGAAAAATAATATGAATAATCAAAGACTATTCATTATTCATTATAATGAAATCAATTGCTATTGATTCACCCGTCTACCCTAAAGAACCAATCATAGAACATCCATCCACTGGAACAAGTCATAATGAAATAACAAGAATATAAGCGTGGGATGAGGAAACGTGTGCATAGTCAATTTTCAATGGATCAAACCATCCATTTGTTTAATAAGAGCATCATAGTTCATTATATCCCTCCATCCATTGGTCTGAAATATCAGTTCAACAATAGAACAATGAATCCATAAAACCATCTGTCATCCTATCTTGAAATAAATAAAGGTACATTAACATTTTATATTGTGTCTATAAAACAAACCTGTTATCTTTAAAGTAAATTAAAACAAATATCACACTGATGTGAAACTAGGTTTATTGCTAACAGCAAACAGTGAAGTCAGTTTAACAGAACTGGTTTGTGTCGATACTTTAAAGGCTTTATATGTAATGTTTTGATCCAGCAGATGTCGCTCTTGAGCTCCAGCATGAAACCAAAACAACTCGCGCTGCATTGTTGTGTTAGCATGCTAATGCTAGCGATCTTTATTCTGCTGGTATCTTCACACTGCATGTAAATTTACCTGAAATGAGCGTGATCTAGAAACACAGTTAAGCAGTGAGTACAGTATGTTATTCTTCTTTTCTCTAGTCCCTCAATTAAACAAC